GCTTATATATCTCCTTTGTGAAACAAGCAGATCTTATCAGCCAAAAAGTTGTTTTAAGGAGATCGGGGTCCCGCGAAAAAGAGCAGGAAGTTGCGCAAAGGAAGCCAAATTTAAACATGTGTGCTGTAACGAATTTGAAACCTGACTGTACCTGACTGTACGCCTATCATATGACATTACGAGTGCCTCTCCCTTCCTCTCTTCCCCTATTGCAGGTACCATGGACGAGTCACCACGGGCCCTGGACAGGGAAGAGTATCCCGCTTGTACACCCCCCTAACTGACCTTGACCCAACCTTGTACACCCCTCTCCTTCCGGTTTCGGTTCGGGTTAATACACGTGCGTTGTTGCTACACTCCGGTCTTCTTCCCTGTACCACCCGACCTGTGCGCATGTGTGCTGTGTATACTGTGTGGATTCATTAATACCAGCCTGTATATCTGCATATTTCAGAACTGACGTGTGCCGTCGCTACATCCTGTCGAACGTCGAATACCGCTGACTTCCTGACATCCCACGCTACAGTGCAGCGTCCATCATCAATAGGTATGCTTTAATTTGAAGTTTTCGTGTAATAAGCGATTCAGATGGTTCTTTCCTAGAATGGTGACAGCTTTGGTTATATTCTGTGTTGGATCTAGATTAACTCTCGGCATAAGGACGCTAATTGCGGACAATAAATAGGGTGACAACCTCATTACATCCTGCCATTTCCTTGATTCGCTTCAAGCAACGGCTCTGAAACGCACACTCGGCTTTGCAATGCGCCTTAGCTTTACTTAATAGCTCACGCTATAGTGCACACGCTCCTAAAATCTCCATTCTATTCTAATTGCCACATTAGTAACTGACCATCTAGTTACCTCCTCCGAGACCTTACTTTTCCAGTGCCTGTTTGCCTGTCCGAATTGACCCAGCTGTTTTACTGGCTTGGATTTCCCCCGACCGGGTAAATTACCTGATAGCTTCACAAGCAGCAATTATGGTTTCTTGGAGGTTTAACACCTTGCCAATCTGAGGATAGAATGCGCGAGGAGTGACGCAATTATGTTGGAGGTTTAACACCTTGCCAATCTGAGGATAGAATGCGCGAGGGGTGAAAACTTCGTGCGGTGATCAGATGCGCATTACAGTGTGGATCGCTCTGTTGCGTCGCATCATGGTGCATTCGCATACCCACTGGTCCTACAATAGCAAGGGTGCTTCGCTCATCACCGGTGGTTATGAATCTGGAATTTTATTAAAGAAATCCATAAAAGGGCATTGTCGTTGTCCGTTGGGTTGGATTTTTCCCGTTTGAGCAATTTATCTGGCAACGCTCGGGATGCCTCTTGTGCTATATAGAACCATATTGTCTAGCTTATCCAGTCCTTGATTGCTAGGCAAGCAAGCAAAAATTGATCTCAATCGTGTCTCATCTAGTCACTTGTTGCCACCGCCCTAACTGCAATAATTTGAAGTTATTCTTCTGTTATAAGACTACGCTCTCTGATACCTCATCAAACTCACCAGCTTCGTGGACTTTCAGTTTGTTTCCTCCACAATTTCAATAATTTTCTTCACAGTTCTCGCTCAGTCCTGTGCGTTAGCACTAACTCACTCTCTCAAGGAACTTTCATGCCCGACTATGCCTTAACAGTGACACCAGTGATTCTAAATGGTTCCACAATACCCCGTGATTCTAGTTTTCCACCTACCCTTTATCCTTACTGTGAATTTCTTCACTTCATGATCTTCAGTTAAGCTTTTCGTGATCCTGGCCATAAGCTCAACCGTCCAAGCCTCAGCAGTGGTATTCACTTTTGGCTCAATTTGACCGACCGGAACACCGGTACACTGCCGCTTCACCGAATCATTCCTCATTTCTTGCAATTTGCAGCTTTCTTATCATGTCTTCGTGATGACGCCTCCAGATTTGTAGGTCACTCTTGATATGTTCCAGAGTTTATGAAAGCCGTCAGATTTAAACGTCAAAAAGTTTTTATCACTGACCTTAACAACGAATTAACGAGATAGTTCAAAATGGTTTGCTAATCACTTGGGTAACCTTTTCTTCACTTTATCTATTGCATAAAGTATCAAATCCATGAGTGTTCACTGCAGGTGCCAGTTGGTGACTGCAAATAACAACTAGTTCCATCCATTTCATCATCATCAAAGACAGCAACATCAATGTTGCCACTGATGCTTCACTGCCGTAGGTTGTACGAGGGCTGGGATACTGCCAGGGCACCCATACCTAGACAGAAGGACGATTAGGGTCCTCAACCAAAACCTTTGGCTCAGAAGCCTAACCGCAAAGCAGCGGTGTTCGGCTGGAAATGCAAGTACATTACCATTTTTTTAAGGAACATGTCGCCATACATGTTCGAACCCCCAGTCTGGAGGGCCAAGAGATTGTGTTCGTCGGACCTCTACCCATGGACCAACCTGGTATGAGACTCTGTGAGCATCGTGCGGACACTCCCCAGTATAGCTCAATGGGTCGCCGAGGTACACAAACCGCCACACCACGGTAAGGCCCAGTCTCTTCGTGACGGGTTCCATCCACTTGGTAAAACCTGAATGAGTGTGGGTCATCGCTTAATATTTTGTTGTAATCTTGCGTTCTCCATTAACTTTGTGGTTCCGTACTGAAGTGTTGTGTGCAGAGGCTTCGCCAGTCGAGAGGATAAACCTACAGTCGCAATATCGAGTGTATGGGACAATCTGACAGGTACCTAATGACCCTGACCTGACTTAGATCTAGATTATTCCACCGGGAAGCATGGATCCTTTTCGTCACTGTTGATGATGGGTCATTGTGATCGGATATTCTTCAACAGAGGTTTTGTCCTGTAAACGGAGCCAACCGTACTGGAATATAAAAGGGGCTGTAAACTTTTCGCCCTTATTAAAAGTCATCAGCGGTGAATGTCTCGTGAAGCTCAGGGAGTTTGGAACCTGTAACCTCCCCGCTAGTGGTTCACCACAAGTGATTTGGATTCATTTGACAGAGGCTTGCTCTCTTGCAGGCTTCTTTGGTAGTACGCACACAGACGCGCTTAGGCTAGTGGTTCATTCACCGTAAACGATATGTTTACATTGATGATAAAAATCAACCAACGTTGCAATTGAGTGCACCGTGCGTCAAGGCGGGGTTCCGTTATTTCGTCGCGGTGAATGGTGAAGCTCAGGGAGTTTGGAACCTGTAACCTCCCCGCTAGTGGTTCACCACAAGTGATTTGGATTCATTTGACAGAGGCTTGCTCTCTTGCAGGCTTCTTTGGTAGTACGCACACAGACGCGCTTAGGCTAGTGGTTCATTCACCGTAAACGATATGTTTACATTGATGATAAAAATCAACCAACGTTGCAATTGAGTGCACCGTGCGTCAAGGCGGGGTTCCGTTATTTCGTCTTTTCACATGCCGTATTGTTTTCACCTCAACTACTGAAGCATAATGGAATACTCAAAAGATATCCCCGTTGGCAATGGATCAGGTGGCTGTTGATCTGTCCGGGGAGATTGGCAACTGAGTTGCAAACGTTTCGTCACCAATTGAGGAGATATCTTCGGCGCACTGATAATGTCCCCACGAATGGTGACGAAGCGTTTGCAAATCAATTGCCGAGCTTGGCGAACAGATCAACAGCCAACTGTTCAACTACCAATTAATGCACACAAGCCACCAATATTCCAAAAAATATTCCTGTTGGTAGGGCCTATAGTTGCTGCTTTTGGCATGTTTCATCGAGCTCCCCGGGCCATAGGCTGTTGACTGCACAGTATTTCCTTCAATACGAATCAAACCAAGCGAGCCGACTGTGCTCACAATTTGTATTGACCAACATCTGAATGACTGAAAACCCTTCCCTCGCAGACATTTAGCAATTCTCGTCCCTTGTTCCATGACAACCGCCGAACCTGTCTTGTCATGACACGATAGAAAAAGTGTTATCCAAAATTCGACGACTGAGTTTATCAGTTACCTACCCTATACATCTTCCTCTCAGTAATCAAAGCATCTGTTTTTAAGACGACCTTGTCCATAACATTGCGATGCACTTGCAGTATTCCACGGCTTGTTGAAAGTGGAATCTAATGTCATCACACTGCAAGAGTACTGTCCTACCCCAACAGTAAGGCCTCTGTCATTTTTATGGAAACCTAAAAACCTGTTTGAATCCTGCCGATACGAACTGTCATGTTTCTTCTCATCGCATGCATCATGTACTAAAAAGCCTCCTTTTCAAGATCATTCCGGGAGCACAGAGATGGTTGTAGACAGGAATCTCTGCCTGCAAAAATCTATAGCCCCGAATTTCGTTCTGTTTCAAATTTCATCTTCTTCTTTCAGGACCGAAATCCGTCATGTACGGAAAGAGAAAGCGTCCAGTTGTAGCACCCTTCCGGTGCCCAGCTGCCATGCCACCCGAAGGAAGCACGAGGGCTGGGATACTGCCAGGTTGCCCAAGCCTAGACAGGGGAAGTCGAGTGGCGGAGGTCGGATTCCAACCACGAACCTTCCGGTCAGTAAATTCGCGCTCTAACCACTTGGGCCATCTTGCCCCACCACCGCGCCAACCCACCGGGAAAACTATCGGCACAATCTGCCATCCACTATTACTACCGCCCAGAAAAGACACTCATGCTTTTTATATCCAACGTCGAACTCGATCATAGAGCTCAGACAGTAGGAAGAACAGGGATTCTAGATCATGTGGTTGACCCAGAAACAGAAGCCGCGTCGGCTGACTAAAGGGAGGGGCAATTTACACAGCAACGTGTGGGAAAACCAATATGGAACAAAGCCGTCAGTCAGACAAGAGTGTTAATAGGTAGAAGTAAAATCATCAACTCAGAAAGGACCGCGGTGTGAACTAAATATTACGCCTCTTGTAGTCTACTCAATGCGGTTATTCACATCCTGTGATTAGCTTAGCGATCATGGAGTTACCATTCCCCTATCCAACAAAACAACATTGAGCGCTGAAAACAGTAGGAACACAGCGAAAAGAGCAAATTACTTGCCTGTATTGATGCATACAGCTGTACAGCCATAAATGCAAAGCTTCATGAGAAATGTTCTCGCGATTCACGAAGCATGAAAAAAAAATAAAAAATAAGGTGAAAAATACATAACCCGGGATACTAAACCTTAGTAGAATACAGAACTGCGCGAGAAAAGCTGTTCAGTTTCACGAAAGACTGTGCTTAACAACTGTTGAAAAATAAAGTCAAATGGCTTGTTACACCATGTTAGTTTGTTATCTTCGGTTTCGACTGAACCTGATCGGTTGGTGGGGAGGATGGAGAACGTGCGGACAATTTTCCTGCGAGTAGTCTGCGTTCCTTGAGTGCCTGTTCTGCGCGCTTCGCCTCCAAGGCCTGTAATTCAACATTAACTGCAGCTGTCATATCCGGCATCAGATCGGCGACTTTGCGCAAGTCTGCAGCAGACAGATCCAGGTCCCAAGTCTCCGAATAGGCCTTCGAGCGTCGATACAGTGCTTTTACGTTCTTCGGATCACGGGACAGTGCCTCGGACGTGCTTTCGATTGCAGCATAATATTGCTGTGTGGAACAAGGATAAAAAACAGTTAACTTGCCGAAGGTGCTGAGGAAAATAAGATAATCCAGTACACAGCTTTGCAGACATGCTGTTAAGTTTAACACCCTTTCGGTTACTAGCTCCCACGCCAACCGAGGGAATCGCGAGGGCTGAGATACTGCCAGGTTGCCCAAGCCTAGACAGGGGAAGTCGAGAGGCATAGGTCGAGTTAGAACCAAGGACATTTCGGTCAGTAAATTTGCGCTCTAACGACTTCACCCATCTTGCAGACATACTAGGCAACCTGGATTCGTTTGCCGCAGTGATCTTCGATGATATAAAGCTTGCGTACAGATTTGCTCCTGTCTAAAGCGCTCTAGTTTGGTGGCCAAATGAAATAAAAATTCACGTTTGACGAAGATGGCGTCGGGCATTGACTGCTTTGCGAGCGAAGCAAACTAGAGCCCTCTCTGAAAGTCCCTTATCTACATAAGTAACTAAACTCACATATACGCCTACTCTATGGAATGCTATGAAGATGGCAGTTAATCGGCTATAAATCGCGTACCACGGCACAGTAATCTGAGCCCCACTTTTTATGGATCAATGAGAGGAAAGAAGAAAACAAACCACTAGTTGTAGTCACATTCAACAGGCTGATGAAACCAACGTTGGTGGTAGGTGTGGTGAAAAAGCGAACGGCACCTTTTGGTTGGAGCTGAGGGACAATATGCCCAATATTAGAAACAAGTCCGATAGAGGAAACTGATTGAACAGACGATTGCTTTGAATCACTGGTGTGCGCTTTTCCGGACCCAGTCACGAAGAGACTGTGTCTTATCGAGGTGTGACGCTTTGTGTATTTCTGAGACCCATCAAGATACATTGTAGGTTGTCTCCTTGACATTAGTAGTCTCTCGAACCAGGGTAGTTAACTGACATGGATCAGATTAACATAGCATCCTGACCCACTGGTTGGGAGTTCAAACACGCGTGACGACATGTTCCTTGAAAGTTGCACTACTCTTGTTACCACACGCAGACCATCACTGCCTCTGGGTTAAACTTTTGAACCAAAAGCCTTGTTTGAGAGTCCTAATCATCCTCCTATTTGGGTTTGAGTGCCATGCCAATCTTGCTCTACCCCCTTCTCATACCATTGAAAAATCACTCCGAGTCACAGATATGTCGAAGCCTGTATTCGAAGAAGTGACAACGAGCATGCCACTGCTCAAGTCTATCGCCTACCGTCTGCCGTCAGACATCATTCACCGTTTTTTCGCAACCTTCAATGTGTGAAATCTGAAGCAAATCGATCACAGAACTGCTCTGGCGCACACTGTTGACATTTTGCCGATAGATATTTGCCACGTTTCTGAAACTCGAATACGGGATCCATGTACAGTAATCGAGCTTACGGCAGCTTTGTTATCCAGACACTGCCACCTACACCAGGTGATTCTGCATCGACCCAGGTGGGTTACGTTGACATTGGCATGGCCCTCAGCTCCTGAGCTGCGTTCCCTTACTTGACCGGACGCCCGTAAGTAGCCAGTTCCTTTGACAGCTTCTATTAGAAAGTAATATTTGTTCTCTATTTGCAGTTTTGACAGATGTCAACCGACTGGAGCTTTAATTCGGTTAAGGGTACCTTTATACAGGATTATTCATTTCTATCCAGTATGGGGTTTATCAATCATTATCCTAGTTGCCGACAATCTCAATACACACGAGAACGTCTCGGAGGCGCGGTCCGGCGGCGTGTCTTTCATTCGAGTCGTGGTTTGTACATCTAAATCTTCACTCGGCTAACGATACCTTCTTATCCTTAAAGATCATGGGGCAACGGGGCCGGATGAGCTACCACTTAGGTTACTCAGGGACGGCGTTTTGTCTTGCCTTAACAAGGTTTTCAAAACTAATTTTGGGATAGGGTTGCCTTCCGACACATAGTCAGTATCCTTATTGAGACTGGGCCCGAAAAAGCAGCTCCGACTGCGGGATTATAAGTCTACGTCTAAGTGTAACACGGCTGCTGGCTTCAGTAATCATGGGACATTTTACGACACTAGGAGAGACGCAAGTCCGAGAGCACCAAGCAATAGTTCAACTAGATAAAGGGTTCACTGATCACACCTTCACCTTAAGTCAAGTACTTGAGCAGTGTCATAAATATTGCCAATCAACTATGATGGCTTCCCAAGACTTCAGAGGAGCCTTCAACTCCTGCCTGAACGCTACTACCTGTCTCATCCGTCTTTTGAAAGTGTCACATTTATTCCCCATGGCCATTGTCATTTCATAAACTAGTTGAAGTCTCAAGTAGCCATAGGATAAACGTGAAGAAACTGCTCATCGCTGTCTTCTCACGGCTTCAGTAATAAAATAATCGTACATGACTGGTCCTGTCCACTAGACGTTAGGTGTTAATACAATATCGAAGGGAGTTTGCCTCTAATGTATAGTGGGCGAAACATGCTGTGTGTTTGAATTTCCGGACTCCAATGTCCACCAAGCCAACGATGAGACAGCTTTGTTTCCAGTAAGGCTTCAAGGCTAGTTACAACAGCAAAAAGTATTTAAACGGGTCACTTACTGAGAATAAACATGTGCTTACGAGCGGACCTATAACCAGATACCACTTTGGTGGTATCAGTCACATACCAAACTACTGAGGTTGTGCTAAATGAACCAGAATCAACCACGCGTCTTCGGTTGTATTTTTAATGAACCATATCCAATGTCATTTGAAAAAGAACACCAAACTACTGAGGATAGTTCACTGGATAGGGCGAGACCGGAATATCGATGGTTACAATGAATTTTCGTTTTTTGGTTGTTCTTGCCTTGGTTACGGTTATTTGGCAACATCTTAGTTCGCGTGTTCGTTTCCAGTGGCACTGCAGCAATGGACCGAAAGGGTATCACGGATGATATTTGATCACCATCGACACCAATCCATCCGCACTCGACACTGGTGCTTCACTGGTATATACGTAACTAAACTGAGAGTTTTATTGGACTCAGTTCACTGATTTGACTGGACTGGTAATCTATGGGATAGCTGGTCAGATTACGCTCCTCTACGGACTGAGGTGACAAATGAATCTGAGAGTGGACACCACGATGTTCGGGCTCAACAGTCTGCGAAGCATTCAAAAGCCAATGAAAAAGTGTTTAAAAACAGAAATAGATGGACACATCTCCCTTGAGACCAGCGGCTCAAAATTAGCTGCCACTGAAGTGTACCATTAAAAGAATTGTGTACATAGTGGCTTAAAGAAGCTGCTGCCTGGCGCAAGGCTGTTTCCTAAGCCATGGTGTCGGTGTCGCCTCTCTTCAAGCCAACCGAACTATTTAAGATGAACTGGTCAACGATGACCGATCAAAAGGGGTTCCTTGACTGAAGTGCGCGAATACAGACCAGTAACAATAATAATAATTTAGCGTCCAAATGGGTCTATGCCAAGTAGGAATGGATGATATTAATATCCACCTGACTATTGAAATAGCTACAGATCGACGTGGCCCCTCTTTCGAGAGCGCAGGATGGAGATTAGCCGGAGGAAAGGTTACACAGGGGGGCTTTTTTCGTACAAAGTAGCAAACTGCCCGCATCAACCTGACATCGAACGCCATAGGACAAGCGAGTGTTTTCATCATGCAACAGAGGTACTATCAGAAGAGCTTATGAGCTGCGTAGATGCGGGTATACAAAATAAGCTGGCAGTCGTTCACAATACCCTGTTACACTTGAATCTTGTTTACTGGTTTAGTGAAATTCAAACCCGGTAGAGGAGCCTTATAAACGTTGATACCACTTGCTTCAGTAAGAACGTCGGTATAGACAAAAAACAGGGAAACGCGAGGACTGACAATTACCCGCGAGCAAACGAAAATCCCGTGTGGGAATGGAGCTAATAAAACCAGAGCACATCAGATAGATTGGAGGAATGTTTTGTGATGTAGACACCTCAGAATGGCCACAGTAGGCCAGCACTGGACACCTATCCCATCTTCTTTCATTCATTTTCTTCACCATAAGGCTTTCATGTGAAATACGGTACGAAGACATCTAGGTTGAACACCGGTAATTTGCTGTCAATAAGGATGACTATCATGAGTCCTCATCAAATCCATAAAGGACGCCTCCGGTCATTTTCGGGAAATCGAGACCGAAAAAAAGTCACGAAAAACACAATCACAAAAAAATGTAAATTAGCCAAAAAGTCGCAACGTGAAGAGCCAAATTTGGCGGAATGTGTAGATATCACAATAATTCAGTACAGATGATCTTTGGACATACCTTTAGTTTAAACTGACATTGGGCTAAGTTGACGAAGAGTGGAACTCGTGCCATATCAAGTTCTACCCACTCGGGTTCCCCAGGTTTTTCACGGAGCACAAGCTGTTCCAACAGTCCCAACGCCTCCCTGTACTTATTGGCGGCGGCTTCAAAGTCCCCATTTTCGTACAACTGGTTTCCCTCTTTGCGCAGCGTGGGGATCAGTTCGGCTTTTTCTTCGGAGTTCATAATCCATGTGTCCTTTCTCGTAGATCCTGGAACGTCAACCCTGAACAAAGTGATCAAAACATCGAGTGGTATGCTGTGAAAATGCATCCTTAAAATAAAGAAATGAATTGCACTTTATGGCAGAAAACAAATGACCCAGGTTAAATGAACTCATCAAGAGGAACAACGCACTGGAATGTTCAACTGGTACGTGAGGAAAATTTCGTCGGTTCTTACGAGACAGACTGGATCCACTCTGAAGGTTATGGTGAACTTGGATACAAGAAAAAAGTCGTTCAGCTGTAGCAACTTTCCGGTGCCTTGCTACCATGCCAGCCAAAGGAAGCACGAGATACTGCCAGGTTGCTCAAGCCTAGATATCTCGCCCCCAAGTGGTTAGAGCGCGAATTTACTGACCGGAAGCTCGCTCCTTCGAACCCGACCTCTGTCTCTCGACTTCCCCTGTCTAGGCCTGGGAAACCTGGCAGTACCTCAGCCCTCGTGCAACCTTCGGGCGGCACGGCAGTTAGGCACCGGAAGAGTGCTACAGCTGAACGACTTGAATACAAGGCTTACACTTCTACAAGACAAATGGCTGTTGAGCCTCGAAAAGGTTCCGAAGCTATAAAGCGAGCTACTGACGAGGAGATCAGCATTTGATTTATCTTCTATAGCTTTGAACAGTTTGATAATGTCTCAGTTTTCTAGTTTCCTTGAGGTTGAACAACGGCTATTACGGAAATCTTATCAGCCGAAAGAATGGATTTGATATGAACGTGTCTGTTGAAACTCGAACTAGTCAAGTCTATTCCGCCTGACCTCCCCTCGTAAGATAACTTCCATAGGGGCTTCCACGCTACTTTCAGCAAACAGTCACTTGAGTGCTCAAAACGGACGTATAAATAGGCCTCGCGATATCATATTGTGGTAAATGTGATAACCACCGCGTACCTGTATTATCATTTTAAAATGCATCATTGTAAGTAAGAATGAACTGACGAATAAGACATGCCAGCGGAATGTGAAACCGGGACTGAAGAAAATAAAATGACATTAGAATAGTGATGATAACATCCACAAGTACCAGACGGGGGGCAGATGTTGCAAGTGGTTAGAGCGCGAATTTACTGACCAGAAGGTCCGTAGTTCGCACCAAACCTCTGCCTCTCGACTTCACCTGTTTGGGCTTGGGTAACCTGGTAGTGTATCAGCCCTCGTGCTCACCCCGGGTGGCATGGCAGCTAGGCACCGGGTGTTGCACTGAACGACTCGACAAGTACCAGACTGCACGTTTGGTTAAAACATGGATAGGGGGCGTGACAGCCCCCAAAGTGGCATTTCATGTTGAGTGTTTCATAAGCATTGCACGGCTGAATGTTCCGTATACAAAGCTCTCCATTTCGCATCGAAGCGGAGTTGGGTCACAGCAGATGATCTGTGTTCAGTCCAATCTGAGGACGTCGGAATCCTGGGTTTGTTATTATAGCTCGTCTACTCACAAAAAAGCTTTTCCTGACAAGACAGGCGATTACTGGTTAAGGAAGAAACTGAAGGATGTAGACTCATGTCTGAGAGGTGGAACACTTTTGTTGCAGCTAAGCGCCTCACTTGGTCAGCATACTGTGGTAATTTGTTAGGAAAACGTTTCCTTTTGTTTCGTGATATCAGTGTATTCGACTATCCAGTCTGTAATCTCAATATCAGTTCAATCGAAAACGGCCAGGGATATAAGTGTATATCGAGTGCG